TTTCTTTCCCAGCTTCTCTTCTTCCATTCCCATCTCTTGTAATTTTGTAAGAACCATTCCACAGTCATATAAATAATTAAAACATTTAGTCAAATCCAATTTTTCACTTATGAAAAAGTAACAGAAGACATTTCAATAAGAATAGTTAAAATTTGATCAAGTAAACTTATGGTAGGCAGTTAGAAGACAGGAGCAGAGCAAGGAGGATGGGCCAGGTACAGAAGAGCACCAGGGAATAGAGCCCATGGGTGCCTACCAACAGGCAAATCTGGGAAAACAAGGACCTGCCATAAGGGGAACCTTTCCTCCCCTAGCTAGTCGCTGGGTCCCACCGTCCCCTGACCTTTCCCTCCCTAGCATGTCCTAATCATGTGGTAGACCAACTTACAGGAGGAACAAGGGGCCCAAAGGGTGGCCCTCTGGGACTCCCATGCAGGTCCTCCCCGGTCCACTCCCTTATGCATTAACCCTTTGCACTCCGCTGTCCCCTCTCAGGGGACATCAGAATTCTAGCATATCACTCGGATGTCCCCTCTCAGGGGGGACATTGCAGTTTATTAGTGATTACGGGGAATTGAGTTAATTCAACGCACGTGTCCGCCGCAAAGTAGCGTCAAGTAGCTGGTAGCCAATGTCCAGAATGGTTCGGAGTGCAAAGGGTTAATCCTTATGGATAACACCTAGGCCTCAGTTGGTTTCAACTTCAAGCCAGAGAAGCAGCAGAAGCAGACTAACGATGTTATGGCTGACATCAGAACCAGCGGTATTGGCTAGAGGCCCTCTGCCCTGGCACCACTGACCTTTGTCACTGCACAGTGTGCTAGTGGGGTAGAGAAGTTCCAGGTGTATGTTGGAGATTTGTAATAATTGGAGCATGTTCCAGCCTTCCAATTGCCTTTTTATCATGTTTACATCAATCAAAAATTAAACTCCCATTTCAAAGTAAAAACAAGGCCCATGTGAAAGGCCCACTTTATTAAAAAAAAGAAAAGAAAAGAAATCCCATTCTCTTGGTTCTAGCTTCAAATTTTCAGATTTGTCCCTTCCTACTCATACTCATCCTATCAACTGAAATAACTCTTTTAAATGTTATTTATTTTAGAGAGAGGGAGAGAGAGAAAAGAAACATCAATTGGTTGCCTCCCACACCCATTCCTACCAGGGATTGACTCCACAACCTTGACCTTTGGGCGCACAGATGGCACTCAACCAAGCAACACTGGAAGAGCCTGCAATAACTTTTTTTCCCCCAATAACTTTCTAATAGGGGTTCCTTGTAAAGGCAATTCTTTCTACTCCCATCCTCCACATTCCTCTCATGACCCTTGTCACATCTAACCTGATTATGCCACTTCCTTGCTGAGAACATTAGCTAGCCCTCCAGTAATCAAAATGACCACCTGTCTTAGCCAGGAGTCCAACAATCCTTCCCAGTCTAGTCCAATCCTCTCTATTACTTCCCCATGGCTGTTTTAACAAATTACCACAAACTTATTGGCTTAAAGCAGCACAAATCCTTCAAGAGTTCCAGATGTCAGAAGTCCAAAATAGGTTTTACTAGCCTAGAATCAGGGTGTCAGCAGTGGTAACTCTCGTTTAGAGGATACCCCACTCTTGCCTTTTCCAGCTTCTAGAGCAGGGGTCCTCAAACTTTTTAAAGTGGGGGCCAGATCACGGTCCCTCAGAGAGCTGGATGAACTACTAATTCCTACTGTAACACCTCGGCTGCGCTCACTGCCCAAAAAACCTGGCGGGCCGGATCAGACTCCTCTGCGGGCCGCATGTAGTTTGAAGACGCCTGTTAGAGGCTGCCTCTATTCCTGGGCCACTGGTCACTGTGAGCCTTGTGATGCCAATTAGGTCCATTCCTATAATCCAGGATAATCTCCGTCACAAAATCCTTAATTTAACCACATCTGCAAAATTCCTTTGGCCATGTAAGGTGATATTCCAGGGGTTAGGGCATGGACATTTTTAGGGGGCCATTCTTCTGTTTGCCACGTGTATCCTCCGAGATTTGCTTCCTCCTTTTCTTTCCATGACTACACTCTAAACCAAATCCATTCAGCATTCTCTGTACATAGCATGTTTCCTCTTGCCTTCACAGTACCAATCTCTCTACTGAAGACAAGAGACAGTATACAATAGGTTAAGAGGCCTATCGCTGGAGCAGGGATTGTTTGGGCTCAAATCTGAGTCTGTCACTTACTTCCCTAAATGGATTTGGACAAATTCTTGTTTTATTAACTAGATCTAAATACCACATTATAGGAAAAACAAAGTAAATTGCTTCTCAAGAAAGCAACTACTCAAATACAGCTTGTGGAATGTCCCACAGGCAAAAATGACTTGGTTTCTCTGATAAATCCGTACTTGAAAAGGTGGTGTAGGGGGAATGTTTGGACTAAGACAAAAGTCAAATTCAATATGTTGGCCCAAGTTTAGATATAGATCTACACCAATCCTCCATAAAAAGGCATGCGATTGGGGAATCAACCTAAAGGAGGTGTCAGAGAATAAGGAGGAATTGTAAGTGTAATGACATGATGCTAAACATTTTTTAAAAATTGAGATGTACACTTAAGAACAGAGACAGACACAAAGTACTACCTCAGAGTAAATGGGCATTATAGTTGAGATCTTTCAAAGATATTCTATCAAAAAAGAGGGAAATAGATGAAACAAGATGGGCAAAATGTTTATTGCTGAACTGAGTAATTGGTACACAGGATTTGATTATACTTTTCTGTTTGAAATATTCCACAATACATCTCTGTAAAAATACACCTCCTTGGAAGCTTTTCTTTCCCAGATTCTGCCAGAAAGTTAGGGATTTCCTTAATCAACTCCCTTAATAGCTTATTCACATGTTTACTATTACAGAACATAATCACGCCCAATTATTTAGGCATACACTATTACTATATTACTTAAAGTTTAGTGCTCATCATGTGCAAGGAACTCTGCTGTTCTGGATACAGGGTTGTGAGCAAGAGACATGCCCTCTTCACCTGTTTATGGTAAGTAGGCAATAGCCCATGTGGGGGCCAGACAAAAGCCCAGCAAGCCTGCAACAAAGTCAGCAAAGGGGCTGGAAGCGGGGAGAGGAATGGGGAAAGCAGGGACCTCCTGAGCACAGGCTATGAGAAAGTCTGCTAGAAGCTGAATAAGGCCCACCTGGTGTTGGGGGGCTGCAGGGCCCATCTGTGCTCTCACCTGTGCAACTAAAGCTGCATCACACTCAAGTTATTAGGTCTAGTAATAATTAATGTCGTTTTCTAATACTTTTTTAGAACAAACACGATACTACAGAAGCAGCACATGCTCATTTTGGGAAACGAGAAAAATACTAAAACGTTCCCTTTTGTTACCTGAGAACCACTATACATCTCGGCTTAATTTTCTTCTTCCAGCAACTTTATTTAGGGTTCAATACTAAGAGCCAAGAAGTTTAAAAACAAACATTTTTAATCCCATTGTACAGTAGTGTTAAAGACTTGTGCGTTTATTTGAGCCAAACTGTCCACAATTGCAGGGAAGCAGACTCTCAAGGATTGGGATAATGCTCCAGAGGATGGCAGTTTTTCAGCTTGTTTTACACATTACAATCATAGGAGACATAGTTGGGTTAAATGACACCCATTGGTGATAGATTAGGGAGGTGACAGATTAGGGAGGGGGGAGACACCTCTGGGACTGGATGAAAATGACAGACACAAGCTTTTTACTTAGGTGGTGCAGGACAGTTAACAGTCTTTAAGGTGGTAACAATAACAGTGAAGGAATTTGTGGACTAGGTTCCAGGTCCCCAGGCACATTTGGTTGTGCCCTGGGGGGTCTGGAAAAAGAGGATTTACAAATTACCCTGACATTTCACAGGTATGCTATCTTAGACCAAAAAGACAATTGGCTCAGTTAAGGTAAAGATATGAACCTTTGTCTGGGAAGATCCCGGCTTAGGTTAGGACCACCCTACAAACTGCTTTTGGTTAAGTTTTAATGTCAGACCCTCCTTTGTGGTGACTTTAGGTCTGAGTTTGCAGACCGCCAAGCAGGCGCCCCTGAGCTGTCAGGTCAGCATGTGCCCTTTCCGTCCACAGCAGTAAGCTTTACTATTTTGGAATCTACACTAGAAAAGCACCCGTATAGCCGGGACCGGTTTGGCTCAGTGGATAGAGCGTCCGCGGCATCCCGGGCCGGGGCATGTACCGCACATCCCTGGTGGAGGGTGTGCAGGAGGCAGCTGATCGATGGTTCTCTCTCATCGATGTTTCTAACTCTCTATCCCTTCCCTCTCTTCCTCTCTGTGGAAAAATCAATTAAAAAATAAAGCACCCGTATACACGGTACCTACAGGCTGCCATACGAGGGTGCGCACCAAGCGTGGTGGGAACACTTTCCACACCTCAGGCCTCGGGGCCTGGCGGCCTCCACGTCCACGTCCCAGCGGGCCGCTGCGGGGACGTTCCCCGCGGCACGACCGCGGCTTCCCGCGTCCCGACTCCCATCCCACTCCGTCCCCTCTCTCCCCACACCCGGCCAGTCCTCGGCCTAGCGGGCCGTTCTGCCTGCCCACCTCCCACCGGGGCGACCACCCCGGCCAGCCATCCGGATATGGCACCAGCCCCTCCCCGCTCCGCCTCGATCTCGCCAAACCTCGCGACAACTCATCAGTTCCGCAGGTTCGCCAGCCTAACGGCACTGCGGACCTGGAAGGTTCTAACCCCCTCCGCACGCGTTCGGCGGCCCTCAACGTCCCCGTCTCCGCCCTTCCATTCACGCCGGTTACGTAAGGGAGCTCCCGCCCCCAGACCATGCCAATCATCTCCTTCTTCCCTGGGGTAACCTCGCAACAGGCTTCTGAGTGGCTGGTCCTGGGAATCGACGTCGCGGAGTGGCGATGCTGATAGGTTGTCAGCAGGCTCCGCCTTCCGCATTTTTCACAAAAGGTGATTGGTCGGCGTCGCCTCCAATCAGCGGCGGGCTGTCGGATTCAAACCGGGATCGTTCCTCTTGTGGTCGGTTGATTGCAGTCGAGTCGTTTCCTCGGCCGGACGCGGACGGTTGGTTCGCTGCGCCCGTTCCTCCCGCTCCTCCCGCCCCGTGGCCGCCCTCCGCGCCGCTCCGCCGCTGGCAGGATGGCCCACAAGCAGATCTACTACTCAGACAAGTACTTCGACGAGCACTACGAGTACCGGTGAGCGCCGGCCGCCGGCCCCCTCAGCCAGGGCGGCAGCCGGCTCGGGCGAGGCCGGAAGTCGGGGCTGGGGGCCGGGGGTGGGAGTGGGGCCCGGCCGGGCCGAGCGCCCCTCCGCCTGCGCAGGCCGGGCCGCCGCCGCTTTGCTCCGTGGTGAGACGGCGGGGACGGGGCGGCTTACCGGCAGACCGTCCTCGGCCGCAGCCGCGTCGGCCTCTGGGCTCCGCGGGGAGGAGGGTGGAGGGTGATTTTGGTTTACCATAGAAAGTACTTTTTTTTTTTTTTTTTGCTTTTGAAGTTAATGATACTAAAAATGACCTTGAGGGGGAACCCCGGACACTTGGCTGTTGGTTGGGATGTGGAAGTGTTTGTTGGGTTGTGAGCGCTAACACGGTGACCGAGGGGTTCCTCCAGACCAAGCAGCTCAGTGACGTGGGCGCCCTCCTGCCGGTGTGTCCGCCGGGCTCGGCTTTGGGCCTGGCCGCTCCGGAGTCTGTGAACCGGCCCCGGCCGTGGGAGGAAGAGGCGCGTCTCATTGGCCGCCCGGGTCCCCCGGGGCGTGGCCTCCGGGCCCGGCGACCGGCCTCCCGGCCCGGCGACCTTCTGTGCCTTCCTGAGAAGGCTGTTTGGGGAGAAAGAACATTGTGTTTGGCGCAGCCCTCTCTCCTTGGAAATCTATATTCTTAGAAGAAAAAAGGAGTTTAGAGATTAGTAATCCTGCACTGTTTCATATTCTTCAACCAGAAAAAGTTGCTTTTCTGGATATAAATTCGAAGTGGGTTATCTTATTTTTACATAGTAACTGCTTACTGCACAGTTCCCTGCAATAGGATGGCATAATGTTCAGTACCCATCTAAAGCTGGAAAAAATATTAATTCTGAAACATGGCTCCAAATAAATAACATTTTTGGGGGTCTTCTGGCAGTAGTTCATTTTTTAGTTTCAATAAACCAACAATCCTTGATGAGCACTCAATAAGCCGAATTTATTTAGTGGCTTGTGTGTATTAATGTATAGAAGAAAATCCTGTCATATTTGAAGTGATATATTCTAAAACATTAAAGATGATGATCTTTATTTTTAAAATATATTTTATTGATTTTTTTATAGAGAGGAGTGGGAAAGAGAGAGCCAGAAACATCGATGAGAGAGAAACATCAACCAGCTGCCTCCTGCACACCCTCCTCCCGGGATGTGCTTACAACCAACATACATGCCTTTGACCGGAATTGAACCCGGGACCTTTCAGTCTGCAGACCGATGCTCTACCACTGAGCCAAACCGGTTTCGGCTGATGATCTTTCTTGACCAAGCCACTTGCCTTTATAGGAACAGAACCACGATTAATCTTCAGAGATACTTCTAAAGGCAAATCGATAATTAGTAATAAAATCAGAGGTGTGATTCTAGGGAAGCTTGTATATGGTGGTGCAGCATGCAATGTGGATTTCAAGTGTTTATTTTTGCCAATATGCAATTATCTAAATCTTTTATTTTTTTTGTAAATGCAAACTTAATTGTCTATTTTTTCTCAATTTAACAAAATTCGTTAATCCTCACTCAAGAATAGAGATGGGGTAGAGACAGAAATCGATGTGAGAGACACACATCAATTAGTTGCCTCCTGCAGCACCCAACCTGGGCCAGGGATAGAGTCTGCAACCCAGGTACGTGCCCTTGACTAGAATTGAACCCGGGACCCTTTTAGTCTGTGGGTCAACGTTCAGTTCACTGAGCCAACCGGCTAGGGCAATTTCCTATTCCTTTTACTTAAGCTAAGCTTCTTTTGTAAATGAACTTCAAGGCTTTGTTCTGTTAAGTGACATTTGGAACAAGTATTACAAGATTGTGTGGATTTAAATTTATAAACGCTATATATTAGTATTTTAAAAATCCTATCCACGACGACTCTCGAATTGCATTTTGTTTGTAGCACCTTTGTTTATATCTGTCTTTACTTCCCTCCATGAAAAGCCCATAATACTGAAGTAAACATTGAGTTTTGGAAGTAATTTTTCACAAACATAGTTAGAAAACTATTTCCATGAAGTGAACTACAGGTAGAATTTTCTTATAAGTTTGAAACTACTTATAAATTGTTTCTTTATAATCAAACATCTTGATGGTGAGCCCGTTTCCATGGTATCTGGAGAAGGTAGGGGTTATAAATTTTTCTAAATAATATCTTGGTATATTTATGTAGGTATACATAAAAAGTACAAATCTAGTTAGTGCAAAATTTTCTTTGAGACTACTCAACAATGTGATAGAAATAAGATAACAGATTATTTGCAAAAACTTAAAAGTAGATGTTAAAGCAGCATTTTAAGAATGAATGGAGGTAGCTGGTATTAATCACCATGTAATTCTCAGGAATTGGTGAAATTTTAACAAACTATGATAGTAAGCATAATTTGACTTCGTGACAATCTAACAACATAATACAACTGTATCAGGCTCACGTCTGTTCTGTAAATAATATGAAGTTGGCACTTAACAAACCAGCCACAGACTAGGTTGATGGCAGATTAATCTTATGGATGGCTTTACTTTGCCTATGTGCCAGAAAGTATCAGATTGCCCCTTTCTCACTCCCTGGCAATGATTCACATTTTTATAGGCAATGATCCTATAAAAATCATTTTATTACAATGAAGAGAGAGTAAAGGTTTGTGTTTAAGAATTTAGCAAAGATGTATTGGTATGTTTTGACACAGAAGAATATTGGATGCCTTCCTAAAAAAAACAAACAAAAAAAGAACAACAGAAAAACAAAATAAGTTTTGGGTGTAAGTAGGTAACTTAATGGAAAACTGAAGTGTTTTTTGCTTTTGATTGTGAACTAAGTACAAAGCACTTTCTAGAGTATACAAGGATTTGTGTCTACTACAAATCTACAATGTTGAGTAATAAATTAACTGTTAACAAATGAGGCAATTTTTTTCTCCTTATGTAAAAGGCTACATGAGGTTAGGTGACAGTTCTAATCAGGGACCATCTTCAATTTGCAATCCTTTCTGTGGTCTTAGATGGCTTCTGTAGCTCATCCCTCATCAGGTCAGTCTGCTTTATAATCAACAAGAAAAAGAATTGGGCATGTTCTTTCCTTTCAAGGACATTTTCCATAAATTGTCTATTTTCTGCTTATATCCTATTGCCCAGGACTTAGTCACATGACCAAAAATAGCTGCAAAAGAGATACTTATTTTGTTTTTTTTGTTTTTAATTTTTCATGAATATGTGTCCAACTTAGTTTTGGGGTCCTATTCCTGAAGAACATTGAGACAACTAGCAAACCTCTGTTGGGGAAAAAAAATTAATCCCAAATAAAATGCCTTCTGGTTTTGGACTGCATATTCTTACCTTCCTAATTTTGAACATAGGACATTAACATCAGAATTAAAGGTAGTGGAGACCATAGTACTCAAAACTGACACCAATTCATGTAATATGCTTTCAAGAACATTGGGGACAAAATTTCAAATTTTAAGTATTCTAAAGATGCATGTGTAAAGTGATTGTAAATATAGAAAAGGCATATTTACAAACAGCACTAATACGTGGTTATATTGGTTATGTCCTTCAACAGGCATGTCATGTTACCCAGAGAACTTTCCAAACAAGTACCCAAAACCCATCTGATGTCAGAAGAGGAGTGGAGGAGACTTGGTGTCCAACAGAGTCTTGGCTGGGTTCATTACATGATTCATGAGCCAGGTAAGTTTTGTTCCTTGGGAAAGCATTAACTGAATAGTAGCAGTTGTGATTGTTGACTTTTTAGTAATATTGGTATTCAATGATATCCTAAAGTTAACTATTTTTGAATGATTTCTTTTCCTCCAGAGGGTTCCAATTTTGTAAATGCCAAAATGAAAATAATGCATTTTTCTCTCCTGCAAAATATAACTTGAGTTAAAATATGTTATTCTGTTTTAAACTAGAGGCTGGTACATGAATTTGTGCACGGGTGGGGTCCTACAGGCCTGGCCCTAATTGGGGTGGATTGGGGCCTAGCCTGTATGCACGAGGAGACAGCTGACCAGGTGGCCTACCCCCATCCCAAATGTGGTAGGTTCAGCAGCTGGGGAAGGGGCCTCAGTTGGTTGGCTGGCTCTGCCCCCTATTGATGTAGAGCACATGTGTCAAACACAAGGTCCGCGGGCCAAATCCGTCCCGCCAGGCCTTGCAATGTGGCCCGCACCGCGCTGTCATCACTGCACTCTGCTGCGTTTCCATCACAATGACAGTTTATGACTGTTCAGCCCTCGATTTAGGCTGGATTTTAGATTTTGGCCCCTTCTCTGATTGAGTTCGACACCCCTAATGTAGAGGGATGATTAGGGGTGGGGCTGGCTGGCAGGAGGTTGGCCACCCATTGGCAGTTCACTGGCTGCAGTGGGCTTTATAGCAATCAATGTTCCGGTTGCTGACTTTTTATATAGATTTGTGTCATTGTTAATATTATTTTAAGATTCAATGAGATAACAAAGCCAGTGAACTCAAATTTATGAATGCTTGTCACAGGGGAAGGGTGGGGGGGAAATCAGGATTTTAGACATGCTTAGGTGGGGCATGACCAAAAAAGATTGGGAACCACTGTACTAAACTAAACCTTTGTGGGGTTATATCCTATTTATGGGTTATCAATAAATCTTCAAGAATTTATAATGCTTTGAACAGAATATGAAGGCATGCTGCAGAACTGCAATTAAGGCTATCTTGTTTTCCACTCTTATTAAAGCAGCAGCAGCGGCACAAACTTTAAACACATAAAACTTTTTTTAAAGATACACAACTCCAACTCTCTTGGTATTAGGGCATGTAATCATATTAGAGTTCAAAAGGTGTTTCTCCAGGTAATGAAAAAGCAATTGAGGGACTTAATGGGATCCCTGGGACCTGCAGATTTATAAGCTGGTGGCTTTTGAATGAGGTGTTAGGCGTCTTTGCCCCACAGATAACTTTTCTCTTTATTTTTCACTGTGATTGAGATTCCAAAGGTAGAAATTTATCTCAAAGTAGTTTCTCTATTTACCATCCCTCTTCTCCAAGGTGAGTCAACACTGGGGAAATACCTCATTGTCAGGTTTTATTATGTTTACTGTTGACAGTGACTTTGAAGCAAAATTCATTTCAGCTACCTCAATAAGTAACATTGACCATAGATTTATTTTACTTTATTTTTGGTTCAGTTGAGAATTCTTTTGAGTGAAAATTAACCATTTATATTAAAATTATATAAAACATTTCTCTTTCCACAGAACCACATATTCTTCTCTTTCGACGACCTCTTCCAAAAGATCAACAAAAATGAAGATATTGGGGATCGTTAATTAAATCTTTTTCAAATTTAATGTATATGTGTATATAAGTAGTATTCAGTGAATACTTGAAAATGTACAAATCATTCATCCATACCTGTGCATGAGCTGTATTCTTCACAGCAACAGAGCTCAGTTAAATGCAACTACAAGTAGGTTACTGTAGGGTGTTTTAAGATAAAATTTCTCCTAGTTACTTTTTCTCTTAAATATAAGTGCCTGTTTGACTTTACCTGTTACTTTTGTTTAATAAAGTTTGTATGTTGCATTTATCACTGAAGTTATTGAACTTTATTTTAAGATTAATTCATGAGTAGAGGTTGATGGTTTCAGTTTTACAATTTTAGTCCTGAGCAAATAAATTTACTTTAAATGGGTTTAAAATAGCTTGGTGATGGAGGGGGGTACCATGTAGTTTACGAGTGAAGAAACCAAGAACTAGGGATAAACTTACTAGACATAAAGTAGATTTTATAGCTCTATTATTCTAGTTCACAGAGAATTGTCTAGAATCTCCACTTGAACAGAAAGAATTCCAACTTAATACTATGGGCTGCTTCCACTTATGTAAGAACTGCCACATCTAGTGGCCAAATGTCACAGCATTTTTAAAAATTAAAAGCACCCTTTAAAAAAAAATACAGCCTCCATTACATATGTATTCTATGACTGTAAATTGCTTTTTAGCTGCTTGGGAAATAAAGTTAATGCAGTCTCTCTTCATTGGTATGCTGAAGAATCCCTTTAAATGAGCCATGGTAAATATAAGCTTCAGAAACAGCCAGAGCTCTGGGTCCCCGAGTCCATTCTAAATTCTTCCCAAATACACCAGGTAGGTCCCTTCTCAAACCCTATTCACTGCACTAACTGTTAGGAACTCTAGTCCAAGTTCCTCCTTTATCTTCTGCTCACTAGTTACAGGTGTCAGTTTTGAGCCCCTCTGCTGGGTCTTAGAAGCCATGAGAAGTTGTAGGTATAAAAGAGAGTGTATTGTAGGAGCTAGTGGCCATATAGCCATCAGACAAAACAGTTATTTCTATTAAGTCCTGTACAGGTAGCTGCAGACCAGCTAATAAATACAGATTTCCCACAAAACGGTGGCACCTCTAACAGCCTCTGTACCTACAGCTATTAGAGGAGCAGCCACATGCCATCTCTAGACTCGCCGCCTCTGAGCTGCCTGCCTTGGCAGCTTCAGCCTCTGGACCAGCAGCTTTTCTCTGGTAGCTACATTCCCTATGCCTACTGTTTCTAGCACACTGGCTGGTCAGTGACGTGTTAAACTCTTTAGAGGAAGGCCAGTTGCCAACAATGACACTGTTAACGGGAGAAAAAAAAACAGTGAAACCTGTGAAGAATTTTTTTGTGAGTTTATTTGAGCCTTACTGTCACATATGCCGGGAAGCAGAACCTCAACGGACTGAGATAATGCTCCGAAGAATGGCGGGTTACATTTCTCTATTTATACACTGAAATCAAAGGAGGGACATAAGTGGGTTACATGAAATTCATTGGTGATGGAGTAAGGAGGCGGGAGAAAGCAAAGTGTTGGGAAACTCCTGGGATTGGATAAAAAGTAAAATGATGGTGTACTCCGGTGAGTGCAGGAGCAATTAACATGATAAAGAAGGAATTTGAGGCATCTGTCCTGGCGCCCACCACATTTGGTTGTTCCCCAGGGGCTCCGGAAAAAGGGAAGTTACAAGTTACCCAGACATCTTAGAGGCAAAAAGGCAAATGGGCTCAGTAAAAAGATCAAAGTTGATCTTTGGGAAAATATCTGGGACATGACTACCTACTATAACCTGCTAGATATTTAATTTTCAAACCATCCTTTGTGGTTATCTTAGGCCTCTGGGTTTGCAAGACTGCCACACAGGCCTTCCCTGAGCTTGTCAGGTTAGCATGTGGCTCTTTCACAACATCAATCACGTGGGTTATATAAGTGCAGTGATCCTGAGCTGTACTTGCTTGGACCTGGGTATGGTATCTCAGCCTTGAACATTCTGATTATGGGTCCCAGGCTCAGAATGGCCTTGATCATCCGATGCACTTCTAAACAGGGTCTCGAGAGCAAGCCAACGGAAAGATGCCTGAATTGCTAAGCAAGCACTGCGTTTAGGACAGACCAAAGAACACAGGGAGGGAGAAGTTCCCAGCCTCCGCCATTGATTACTATGGCCAAATCCCAGGCCTCTCCAGACGCTGGAGTTCTGGGTGTGTGTAACCTGGGGGCCCACGCAGAAGAAAACCTTAAGAATGAGCTACCTGCATTTTTCCTGCTTGAAACACTTGGTAGTCACTCAACTCTTCTCACTGCAAGGCACAGGTTTCCTAGAATTAACCTCCAGCCTATGATTTTGAACCTAATCAACCCCTATGGGTGAAATAGCCTGCACTGTCAGCAAGCCTTAAATCTAATGCATTTAATGCAGCTTCCTCCGCGTGCTCCAGGCCCGGCGGCCATTTCTCACTCCACCTGCGTCCCTCTGGTGGCAAGGTTCTCCCACAGAAACCAGATGACTCCTCCCCCTCCCCCTCCCCAGCACCTTTCGTAACAGCCAGTACCTAGCTGTTGGGAAGAACGGCGCAGCTTTTAAATTCTGTGGTTACCACCCTAGTGCGTTACCTTCCTGGGGCTGGGACATAGGGCAGCGGGAAGGCACTTCCCCGAGTCCCCAGCCTCACACCCGCCCGCTCCCGGCGCCCCCTCCCCGCGTGGGCTCCTCGCTGCTCTCGCCCCAGCGCGCCCCGCGTTTCCCCTGCCCGCGGGGACAAGTCACCTCCGCCGAGAGCAGAGCCGCCGGAAGCGGGCTTGCGCGTTTCTGTGACGCACTTCCCGGCGTCCGCCCGGAAGTGGGAGAGGGTGGGCGAGCCGCAGCGTTTGTCCGGCTAGCCGACGGGGCGGCTGCTGGCCTCCGGGGCCGGGCCGCCTCCGAGCCGGGGCCATGGCGTCGGAGGGGCCGCGGGAGCCCGCGGGCGAGGTGAGGACGGCGGCCGGGCGGCCCGGAGAGGTGGGGCCGCGGGACGCAGGGCGGCGGCCAGCCCCGGCCCCCAGCCCACGCCGCCGCGCTGACCGGCGCCGAGGGCGCCGCGGAGTTCCGGGCGCGGCCGCGGAGGGAGGCCCGCCGGCCGCCGCGGCGGGAGGGGCTGTGAAGCTCTCGCTGCGGCGTCGGAAGCGGAGTCTCCGCTCGGGGTCGCAGCGGGCCGCTCGCTGGAGCCGTCGTGGATCGGCTCAGACCGATCGCACCCCGCGCTTAGGAGTTGTCCGTGGAAGTGAACCTCCTAATACGTGTCTGAACCCAAAGCTCATGTGTCTTATCTCATGTTCCACTGCTGATCGGTTTTCTAGCAGAATTCCCTTTGCTTTTCAACAAAACAAAACAAATGGTTTTGAGAGATTCCATTTGAGAAATTCAATGGAAATAAATTCGCAATATGTTTTGGGTGCTCCAGGTAAGCACTCCGTGGGTGTGTTACCTACAGTACTGCGACCTGGCTCAGCCCTAGCGACAGCTGAAAGAGGTACAATGCCCTGTTCCGAGTTTAAGCTAAGGAAACATCCGTTGGGGTCCTACTATAGAATCTGGGTTGAATTTTACTTCCACTTTAATTGGTGTCCTTATTTTTCACTTTTAATACTTGCTAGACTGACTGACTTTTCCAGTTAAAAGCAGCGGGGCTCTGGCTGGGAGTATCACCCTGTACACCGAAGGGTTGCAGGTTTGGTCCCCTGTGGTTGGGGGAGAGGGGGTGGTGCAGCTGATCCACGTTCTCTTTCCCTCTCATCTTCCCTGCCTTCTTTCCCCTCTAAAATCAATAAGCATATCCTTGGGTGAGGATTTAAACAATAAGTATTCTCTTTTAAAAAAAGCATTGTTAGCAAATGCTTACCTTTCGTATAGGCAGAGTTATTTGAACAGCTCTGAGATTAGCACTTATTCCAGGAGCTGCCAGAAAGGAGCCAGTCTGGGTTTTCTGTTTGTTTACATTTGGTTGATCTCATAATATATGTAGCTATAACCTCCTTTTTCCCCCTCAGGGCATCAAGTTGTCAGCAGATGTCAAACCATTTGTCCCTAAATTTGCTGTGGCATGGTTAGAGTCTTCAGAAGCATCCATGTTCCCTAGCTGTGCAGCCACGTACTATCCTTGTGTTCAGGAACTGCCAGTGCCTGAGTATGTATTCTCATACACACCGTCCCTCACCTGAGGACTTCGTTTCTAGGCTTTAATGGTGAATAGCTTTAAAAACATGCTATAGCTAACACAGAGAAGATACTCCTTCACCAAGAAGGGTCTGAGCCGGTAGCACAACTTAAGTGTGTCCTGCAGCAGAAACTGAAGTTTTGACTCTCCTTTTCTTTCTTTTTACTCAGATATTTTGGGTAAATTTTTAAATGCATTTTTATTGATTTTAGAGGAAGGGAGGGGGGGGGGGAGAGAGAAATATCAATGAGTAGAGAGAATCATTGATCAGCTGCCTCCTGTACACCCCCTACTGGGAATCTAGCCTGAAACCAGGCATGTGCTCTGACCAGGAATCTTGAACCATGACTTCTGGTTCATAGGTCGATGCTCAACCACTGAGCCACACCTGCTGGCGAAAGGTGTGGGTGGTTTTTTTGACAAAAGTTGAAGACCTGCCTGTATGTGATGAAGGTCTGTAGTAGGAATGCCCACGTTTTCCACTGGAATCACACTGTTTGTCAAAGGGATGTGGCACGGGCCTCTTTTGAGTTGTTCCCTACCTTGGGTGCTTCACATAATAACATACAAAGTGCCTCTCAATGACGAGGCCTCTAAGCCATCTGCTGGGTGGGATTTTAGTAACTCAAAATAAAGGTGGAAAACATCTAAAGCAACGTCTTGTCCTGACAACTTGAACGTGACCAATCAGAGGCTTAAGGTTGCACAGTACTTAATTTAAAAATTATGTTTCTTAACCCCTTATCCTTTTAAGCTTTGATTTTGTTTTTTAATTGTTTATAACCAAGGAAAAGATTGACTGACAATATTCCTGACTTGCAAGAAAATGGACAGTGGAGTCATGAAGTCAAAGGGGCACGGTTAGAAAAAAGATGTTACAGTGTGGTGAGAGGGAAGACTCGAAGCATTTGAGCAGGGATTATCTAGTCAGTTCTGTTGTCCATTAAGAAGTGCAGAGTCTAGTCAGATTTTGTTTAAATGGAGACACCTTGTGGCCATGAAAAGGAGTACAAGCCTTTTCCATAACAGACATTCCTATGAGTTCCACTATTACCATCTAAGT